TTAACTTATCTTATAAACCTATCTACAGAAAAAGGCGTCTTTCCAACAAATTTAAAAATAGCAAGAGTAACACCTATCTTTAAAAAAGGAGATAACAATGACCTTAACAACTATAGACCTATAAGTGTGTTAGCCAGCATATCTAAGTTATATGAATTGAATATCAAATTTCAACTAACCAGTTTCTTCACATCAAACAAGTTATTATCATCTTCGCAACACGGTTTTACAGCTAAAAAAAGTAACAAAGACAGCCTTATGTGAATTCCAAAACAAAATAATTCAATCTCTTGACAATAAAAAACTTGTTATGGGCCTCTTCATAGACTTTTCTAAAGCATTTGACTGTGTTAGTCATGAGATTCTATTATCAAAAATGTCAAGGTATGGACTGAGGGGAACACCGTATGAATTGCTAGAATCCTATGTATCTGACAGATAGCAAATTGTTAAAATAAACAACAATAAAAGTAATCCCTTAGGCATTGCGCAAGGTGTCCCTCAAGGATCAATATTAGGCCCCCTTCTATTCATAGTATTTGCCAATGACCTCATATCATACTTGAACGAACACAATAAAATTATTACAACATGTTATGCAGACGACACAAACATTTTAATTATAGAAGAAGATTTAGTATCATTAAAATTATTGTCTGAGACTACCTATGCTAAGGTGATAACATAGTCAGATAAAAATCATTTAATAATTAATAAATCAAAGACTAATGCCCTAATGTTTTGTTCAAAAAGTCGGGAACACCACCAGCTTTTGTTGTTTGAAAATACCAATAACGTCGTGTCTTCTTCTGAATTTATCAAAATGCTAGGAATTACCTTTGTTTCAAAGCTCTCATGGATTTCACATATTGATACTGTCTGCGGCAAACTTAGAAAAGGATGTTATGCACTTGTGGAAATTGTGGAAATGGTGTGTCTTATCCACAAGAAGTATATACATTTAATTAATACCACTTCAACATATAGTACACGTCAATCACACCTTATTTGCCTTCCGACTTACATTAGCACTTACATTGAAATGTTCACCAAGAAAAAAATCCAATGAAAATTGAACGGAGGCTCAAAACACACTGGTTTGCAGATATAATTGAAGGTAAAACCTAGATTCAATGTGGACATTAGTGTTTTGCACTTTCGCCAACATGGCGCTGACATCTAATTTTGAATTCATACCATATAGAATTTTTTTTTGCTACATGTCAAAGAAATTCGAGAAATGAAGCAACTTTCAAGAAGAATACAGAACAATTTCCGTTGATAAAACTAAAAACAAAAACCATTACAGGAGCATACTACAAATCATTACTTGACAAGCTGAAGACAGAACGGAAAAACGGCCACATTTGCAAAAAAAAGAAAATCCTGTCTCACCAAGAGAACATAACGTCTCACACCTTAGCGGTTGCCATGGCGAAAATCCTCGAGTTTCGGTTTGAACAGCTTGACCATCCACCTTACTCACCAGATCTAGCCCCAAGAGATTTCTTTTTGTTCCCTCAAGTAAAAATTGCACTTGGAGTACAGATATTTTTGTCAAATGAAGAGGCAATCACCTTCGTGAACATTATTTTGGAGAGAAAAACGCCAAGTACTATTTGGACGAGTTATAGAGATGGGAGCATTGCTGGAGGAAGCATGTAGAGTTATATTCAAAAATAAAAAAAAAACTTGAAAAAATGTTTTGTATCTTGGTATGATACAAAAAAAAGGGATGAGAGAATCTTTCAAAGAAAGGAAGGAAGTAATCAATTTGAAACTCTATACATGAATGTGTAGATCATGCAAAGAAGTAACTTTCAGACACAAATTGAAAGAAAGTCCTTCTGAAACAGCTACTTTCATATAAACATTGAATTACGCGAAATAAAAATTCTTTCGCAACAAATACTTTTATATGAACACTGAATTATACAAAAAACACTTTTCTGTATTTAGTTTGTATTCCAAACATTCATTATGGAATTGAGTCAGGTATCATTCACAAGATTCCTACACAATATACTGAATGAAAGGTAAAAATTTCACTTGTATGGAACACTGCACCCTCATTGGTAGACATCGATGTTTCGCCGTAGGACACTTGTCTTAGGGCTCTTCAGTACCAATCTGGATACCATTATAAGAATTCACACAATTCATGAATGAATTATAAGAAAAACCACACAGTCATGAAAGTGAAATTTTTACCTTTCATTTAGTATATTGTGTAGGAATCCTGTGTGTAGGATCTACACTATAAAGTTACTTCTTTTAAAATTGATTGCTTCCTTCCTTTCTTTGGAAGATTCCCAAAAATCAATCACTCCTAAAAATATAACCTTTTCAATTTAAACTTTTTTTTTGTGAAAATCTGACAATACAGTGTTTTTTGAATCAAGTATCGTCCGATTCCATGACATATTATTTATTATCATTTTTATTTCCATTTCCGTATGTTTCAGCAAATGTTCCAGCAAAATCTCAGCTTCCTATCAACCTGATCTCGGCTACAAATCAGCAGAAAGTATCTCAAAACGTGTTGATCAAACAACAAATTCCATTCAAACTGGCCTCAAGGTTGAGCAGCGATGCTCTCAAGTCGGGCACTGGTAGCACAATCCAGCAAATGCTACCCTTGAAGTTGAGTCAAGACGAGAAGGTCCGAAGAACGAGCACATCTGGTTATCAGAGGCTTGGTTCTGATAACAGCTTTAGTCCTCCTTCAGGAGAAACGGTAAGTGACGATACTTATTGAAACATGTTTATTCAGTTGGTTTTTGAAGAATTCTTGGATATGATATTGATTTAATATGTTGTTTTTGGGCCTCGCCCTCTAATGAATGGTTCAAAACAAATATATAAATTGAAATTCAGGGAGAATATTTTGCGTATTTATAAATCACTATTATTATGCGAANGGTGTTATCGAGTGTCTATGATTGAATTCAAAAAGGAAAATATTCGTCAGAACAGCACTCGAGAAAAATTATTGGCAAACCGCGGACACGTGTTTCTGGCTATTGGCCTCATCAGCGTGGTGTAGCCAAGTGCATAGATGGGCAACACTTGGTTGCCAAAATAAAAACAGGCACATAACGAACGGAGTCACCAAACAGGAGCCTACCACACATTTGTGATTTCACAAATCACAATTTCCTTCACCTGCGTGACTTCCGTGTCCAGGATATAAATACAGAGATATAGATGGTATTGAGTGTGTTTGATATAAATCAAAAGGGAGAATTTGTGGATAGAACACTCAAAAAATGGAGGCAAACCGCGGACACGTGTTTCTGGCAGGTAGCTATAGCTGCCTACGTGGTGATGTTAGATGATGCCTGGGAATGCTAGGTCTTCTAATTGAAACCACAAATGTGCGGTTTGCTCCTGTTGGTGACACCGTGTATATGTGAAGTTTTTCATTTTTGGTAACCAGTTGTTGTCCATCTTTGCAATTGGCTGCACCGCGCTGATGAGGCCAATGGCCAGAAACACGTGTCCGCGGTTTGCCTCCATTTTTTGAGTGTTCTATCCACAAATTCTTTCTTTTAATTTATATCATACACACTCAATAACATCTTTATATCTCTCTCTCTCTCTATATATATTTATACTCCTTTTTTACGAATTATATGTGCAGAACATGGGTTCATCACCGCTATTTTGTATTTTTTTTTCAAGATATCCATAACTTTATGTGTTATTCTTCTACTGCTTCATTTGAATAGATAGTGTTATTATTATTATTGAAAAATCATAATTATTTCATGAATCATTGTTTCAGACTCCAACCACCATGCCACACGTCCACAGCCGGACCGGTTCAAGCCCGGCGATGATGCAAGCCTCCTCTCCGAACACTTCTCCTCCCGGCCAGTGTCAGAGTCCGGGAAGTGCCAAAGCTACTCGCACACACACATATCCCAAGCTTCCAGATAAATTTAAAGTACGTAACGAACAGCAGCCGACCGCCGATGAGGAGGTCATATATTTCTGACGGCTCTCCACCAGAACAAAACATTTTATTTATTCCCTCATAAATACGAAAGTGTGATTTTTTTGTATCTTCCTCGCAGAGGTGGGCGGCTAGAAGTTTGTGACGAAAGTGGGGGTTCGGTAATATGAATTTTTCGTAAATGGTGTTCGAATCTGGGGCAAAGCTAACTCAATGTATAGCCATCGTTATCGCAATAAACTTGAAAATTCATCTAATAGATACATTTTTTTTGTTACTCGGAACAAAACGTGAGGTGAGTTTAATATTTCACACACTTTTGTTTCAAGATGTATATTCATAATACTTCAATACTTTCTCATAGCATTCTTCCATTTGATATTTGATGAAATCAAATAATGAAATAATTTAAAAGTTTTCTATCCTTGGAAATGGCATGTATTTTACCACTGAAAATGGCTTTCATGCAGTAAACTAAAAAAAAAATTAAATATATGGATAGATTTGAAAAGAGTGAAGGGCATATAACAGGTGGAAGTATATACAAATAAATATACACCGGTAAGCAAACTATATTTCCGAAAATATAACCCTAAAATTTCCACACCTCATTTTTTTTGCTTGTCACTGTCAAGCAGCCAATTTTCGTGATGATAGTTCACAGCCAGTCAAAAAGGGGAGAAAAGGATTGATGATATAGAGATTTGTTTCTACGAATATCAACAATGAGTATATATATTGAAATCTTGAAAAACTAATTTCAAGATTGTGTTTGCTAGTGACAACTTTGAAACATTTAATGGAATTGGCTAATACTTTTATGAAAATACATCTCTGAAACATTATTCGAATTTCTCAATTTGTGAATTTTTCATTTATTTGCATTTTTATAAAAATGTTGTACTTGATATGCAACCAGATTTGAAGAGAAACAGAATGTGAGTTCTCCCTAGAAGGTCATTCAATCTCATCAATTGAACTTAATAATATCTCGATTTATGTCTCGTATGCTTCCGTTATAAGCTTATACCACCCATCTCTATCTTATACTTATTATATTATACATCTCATGTAATTCATATATAATTTTTTTTCAAAACTACATACTATCATGTCTCTTTTTTTACTCCCCAACGATAACTATCAACTTCATTATTTGAAATGCGTTTTCTATCACATTTTTCATCGAGTAATAATATAATTGTGTTCGTCTTCCTATGAATCTTTTGTTGAAATCAGTATTTTCAAATATACTCAAATCTTGTGACAATACAATATTCTAGGATATTATTGTTTTGCCGTTCGTACTTAGGTTAGTTACAGTTCAATGATAATGTAAATACTAAGCAATTCAATCTAAAAGTGATGGGGAGAAAGGACAAACAATTGTGCACAAAAAACTATTTTTACAGTCCTTGAATGTTATTCTTGTTAACCCCAATTACATATTAACTGTTGGAATTTCTTGATAAAACTTTTTTCAACCTCGAATACAAAATATAGTACAAACAATATACACACTTGCAGGTTAGCAATAGCGAATTTGCCTTAGTCGACATGAACGCTTTGACTTAAGCTACCAGAGTTATCAAGGGAAAGTATAGTTTCAATAATTTTCCTTAGCCCCCTATCCGTGTTTCATAACCTTATAAATGCCTTTTTTTTTGTTTCAATTATCTCTCGGATCCGGGGGTCATTAAGACATCTTGTACCAATACCATTGCTAGGATTTTCTTCAGTGAGGTTGATCAATAAGAAACTGTGTCTTCTAGGTGTTTGTTAGTCCACCAACAATTTCGGGAGCAGGTCATTGTGCCAAAATCCTCTCCGGGTACAGATTTTTTTTATGCCAAAATACAGTTTGAAATAAAATTTTCAATTTTCACAAACAACTACAAATATATTTTGACATGAAATTATTTCAATTTGTTTGAAAATGTGCCAGTTTCTGGTTGAAATAATTTTAAAACCATCTTCGGAGGATGTTTTGATGAAATGAGTCCTGGAATGGGGTGCAAAACCTTTTTTTTTTAATTGTTCCATAAACGAATTATTATTGAGGTTATGTAGTTGTTTAGTGAGAACGACAACTAATTTCAAAAGCAATTTTGCGATTAAATATTTGATGATGTTCCCTATGACAGAATGCTTGAGATGATTTCCATACTGTCTTACCCAGAAAATATGGCTCCAGAATATTGTCCACCAAAAACCGTTCTGGATTTCTTGACTTATTAATTTTTTACACAAGTGAAATGCCGATATGAGGTTATGTAGCTCGGGAGAAAGCTAGGGAGTCAACAAAAAGTTCAGATAATCTAATTCAAAATGTCTAAGCGATTAAGCAAACTCACTATTGCTTACCTGCTGGATTATAAAAACATGCATATAATTACTTGTACAAGCACATGTTCCATGATTTTCCAGTCTTTTCTCTCCAACTTATGTTTACCAGATGAGGTTATTCCATCAATATATACCTTTGTTAATCGTTAATAGTAATTCATAGAGCACTTCCTTGCAAAATTAGAAATGATACAGAAGAAAATTGTTCTCCACTAGCATAAACTGTACAATATCGTCTTTCCAGTTCGTCGTTCTTTCCATCTGTATATTTTTAGTTTTGTTTGGAAACAGAATTTATATAAAAATGGCCTACTATATTTTTGTCTCTTCACGTTAATGTCTGTAGGTTAAATGAATATTTTTATAAGATCTATTTATTCTTCAACTTCTAAGTCTCGATTGACTTGTGGTTTTTTTCTGCTTCAGAATGTAAAAAGTAGCACGGCGATTATGTTCATAAAAAACAAAGTGATATAGATGAAGTTAAAACTGAAAAAATTGTAGGCGAAATGTTATTTTAGTTGGTATTGAACGTTTGAAAAATTGTTGGATGGATTTGAATACTGTAATTCATATTATAAATCAAATGTTTGAATACAAAATTTGAGATAATAATTTTCTAATTAAATAGTAAATGAGTTGTGAATTGAAGTGGAACTATGCTCAGCTCATAACTGAAAGGTCCTGAGTTCGAATCCACCTTCGACCACAAGATACTTTTCTCATGGAAATGTATCTTATCGAAGATGGATTGATTTTCTTACTTTATTTTCTGATGCCAAAGACATAAAATGAAAAAAATGATGTCTTTCGACAAAACGATTAATCAACCCTCGGTTTTAAAAGCAACTAAGTGATTTGTCGTATCATCATTACCAAGAACTATTTAGACGGCTGTGGAGTATGTTATTTATAATCTTTTTCAGCCGGCACTGTATTTAAAAAAAACTTCAATTGTCAATGGAAAACAAGCCTATGTCTCACATGTGAAATATTTTGATTTCAATTTGTATAAATTGTTTGGTATAACGAATAAAAATCGTATTTTTTCATAATGTGAAATTGAAAATTTCCTGGTGGTATCTGGTGAATGAATAGATTATTTCTCCAATTCTAACCAGAGATGGTTTGTCAGTTGTCATAATTGCAGTATCCGGTGCTTCCCAAGGGATTGTTTTATTGTTATTGTTCATCAGGAGATATAATTTCAAAGTTAGTTTTTATATTTTTATTGATCACTCATTTTGACTGAAGTTGATTGTATGATTATTCATAGTTTGATACAGTTTCAGTTGAATTTTTATGAATATTCATAAGATAATTATCAATGGCGCTGCGTTTGGAGAAAGTTATTCAAATTCAAGGTTGAATAGTTTGAATTGTAGACTTTCTGAAGTTAAATAAAGTAGGAATTCATTTATCCGGATCTCCAAATTATACCCATTCAGAGGCCGAGGGGAAGTAGAGCATTTTTTGTCTCTTACCGAAATGTATAAGCAGTAATTTTTATTCCTCACACATGTAAGTATATGTGGTTCTACTTTTGATGTTTAGAGAGATAGAAATATTTTTATTGTCTGAAGAACAAAAAATTCTACTGACAAAGTGTATCTTATGTCAGTAGTTTAAAAAATAGACACATAATGAAACACATATCAGTCTGAAAATACACCTAAATGATTTAAAACAAGACATATAACAAAACATAAATTAGTCCAAAAATAATGAATGAAAGTACATACCATCAAATGCTACATCAAACCAGGGTAATTACACAACACAAGTTGACTTTAGTGTTGCAGTTGAATTTGATTTGAAATGTTTCATTAAAAAAGTCAGCAAAGCGGTATTATGGTTTCAAGTATGCCAAGTACTATTAATTCGTTTGGATGGCTTCAAATCTGTTAATGTGTTTTCTTGTCGGGCTTGCAGTTTCCAAAATGAATAATAAAATGTTGTTTTGAGCATTGCATTACAATCAGTATATTTTTTTCAGTCACTTTCAGGTGCTCTTGTTTCATAATAGTCAATTTTGTGTCAAATCCAATTATTATCAGGATAATTGGAGTTAAAAAAAATACACTTTTTAGTATATGGCTGTTTTATTTAATAGAAACATATCAGTGCTCCAATTTTGCAAAAACATTTCTCAACCCAAACCGCATTCGGTATTTTTTTTAATGTGTCGCATCTAGCTAAAACATTCGAACAACATTTTACAGCTTCAGTTTCGAATTCAACATTTTTTTACCATTTGGATTTAAATACTGAAAATTATCATCCCAAAACCAGTACAAAAACTTCAACTTTAATATCGTAGATGCTGTTTTTATTTGTTTGAAACACGAATTATAAATCAATGTTTAAATATTCAACAGTTATTTTTACTATGTGGATTGAAATACTGAAAATTATCATTCCAAAACCAGCACCAAAACTTCGATTCTAATATCGCAGATGCTGTTTTGATTTTTTTGAAACACAACTTATAAGCCAATGCTCTAATATTCAATATTCAGTGTTCGTCAATTAGCTGGAGCATTTCTCAACTCGAATGGCAATTCTTTTTTAACAGAAGTATTTACCGATATCATTCTTTTTCTTATTTTTTTTTACATTCATTCCGCAACTTAGGGATCGGTCAATATGTGATTATCGTGTTCTTATGCATCCAACTTAGTCTTTCATTGTTTTGAAACTGTTTTAGCGTGAAAGATCGTTTTAACCGATTGTTTAGACTGTTGACTGGGTATTTAATGAATACTATTCGCAATAAATATATGTTGACTGATATCTAAAATATATTTTCATTTTCAAAAAATGTTCGATGCTCGATGGTAACAGATAATCCAATCTTGCCTTAAAAATTTTCTTCGGACATTTTGTTGGATATGAACGAGATCCAAGTGGATTTGTTATAAACATTAAAGTATATTTATTGTTCTTATTGTAGATACTAATATCGTGGGAAAATCTTAATTTTATATAACATAGGTTTCTTGTACTTTATAGCTTTGTATTATTTTGATTTCATTTATTCTCGTTTTTTAAAACATTCCATGTTTTATCACACGTGGCTTATTTTTTTTTTCAACGAAATTCAAATATGCCAAATTGTGGAATAATATATGAATATAATTAGTATTTTTTTTATTGATTGGTATGCATGTATATAAGACTCATATTTATTGTAAATATATTTAATTAAATCTACTACTTGGTTTTATTTTTAAAACAACTTAGTTGTTTCAGAAGTTGTCATTAGACCACTTTACTAACTGAATAACCTGAAGAGAGTTGAAGAAATAAACACTATAACTGTGACAAAAGAAAAACAAAACAAATTTTGTTAACTATTATGTGAGAAAACTATTGGTGAACAGAGTTGTAATTACTTTTGAACTAGACCTGTATTGAGGAGATATATATTAGGAAGGAATTCTCATTAGTGAAGAAATCTTTATCTTGGGCAAACGTTTCGTATATACAGTCCAGTCACGAAGTTTGTATAATTCCAAACATACTGCTCTCTAGGTTGGATCTTAGCGCACTGATAAATGTATGTCAGTCTATTCGATGTCCGTCGTGGTATTAGCCCGGGAAGTAGTTGTTTTCCTGCAGGCTTTCATCATATCCTACTGTGCGGATTCTACTTATTACAAAATTTGTAAATTATATTCAAAATACTTTCACGTCATGTTTCTTCAGCTATTTGTTTGTAATCGAAAGGAAACGTTAAAATTTCATTTGGAAATGACAGATAAGGAAGCGGATCTAGCGCTCGCGACTATTTGAGGAATACCTTTTTTTTCCTCCAAAGATAGCTACTATCACTGTTTATTGACCTCCAAGAAAAAAAAACTTTTACTTAAAACGTTTACTATTCATTTGTTTCAGTAGTGGTCTCAGGACCGGCAAATATAGGTAATAAAATTATTCAAACAATAAAAAAAATAAATTCGCTATAAAATCATTGATAAAACTCATCGAACAAATGGCTGCCAAATCTGTGGACTGATATGAATCTTACATTAATACAGATCTGTTCAATCTTCATCGTCTCCATTACCGTTTCGGGATATCTGGTATACTGTGACAGATTTGGAATTGTCATTAAATTTACATGTAACGTACAATTCTGCTATCCTGAAGTTGTAGCAGTGGCTGCCATATCTTCCCCTCAAGTACACTGATCTCGGATCTTCTCTAAGAACATTTGCTATTGCGGTTTTCTTTTCTTCTCCCTGAAAAATCGAAAGTATAATAAATGAAAATTGCAACAAGATTCAGGAACCTGTTGAGTTACCCTGTGATTTTATATCGTTATGTTATTTATCGGCCTCCTGATGGAGATTTTTATGATTTTCTGGGACTACTAAGTGATATCTTAAGTGAAATATGTTCACCAAACATGACAGTGTTTATTGGAGGCGACTTCAACATTAACTTCATTTCTCACACAACGTATTGTCTATTACTCGAAGACTTATTATCGTGTTTTGATGTTAATGTCACACTGAAAATCCCGACAAGAGTTACAGGCAACTCAGCAACTTGTATTGATAATTTCCTAATCAAGACTATAAATCCCTATAGTGTAGCAGTAGTGAATATGCATCTCTCAGACCACTACTCGCAATTCCTTGACCTGCTCTTTGATGAGCTGCCAGTAAACATGGCATTCAAACCATTTCATTACAAGCCCAACTTTTCAGATGAGAACATCAATATTTTCAAAAATCATTTAAGGAATGAAAACTGGACTGATATCTATATTCAGTCTTGTCCCAACTTAGCCTACCAAGCATTTGCAGATGTCATGTTACACTATTTCGAGATCTCATTCCTGAATAAGAAGGTACACCAAAGGGGTGATAAAAAGAAACAAGCAACTAAGTATATTATGACACCTCCTCTAGTTAATCTTGAAAACAGTGTGTCTCTTTACAATAATCTAGCCCAACATGATCCTCGTTTCAGGGAATTAAGTAGTTTTTTAAATCGAGAATATCAGTAGGGGCTACAGACAGCATCCAAGTCATACTATGACAATTTGATTTCAACCTCTGATAACAAGTCGAAAACAACCTGGAATATTATCAATAACTTGCAAAAGAAATCTACAACAAATAATAGTAAAATAGTAAAAACGGAAAATGACAAATCTTTGAATGAGTCAGAGTTATCCAATAAATTCAACATACATTTCACAAAACCACTGATAAACAAAACCGAATAGATAAATAGATAGATAGATAGATACATTTATTTCAACAGAGTATTTTATAAGCATTCACAGGAGTGGCAGAAAATTTTTGTCTGAGAAATACGTCAAAAGGAAAATTGTAAAGATATCAAATATGTGTACATATAAATCTAAAAATGAAGCATTCAAAATGAATTGCTTCAAGTTTCAAACACGACTACAAACATATTATATGAATATGATTGGCAATTCATACATTAAAATATCGACATAAATCTAAATAGTTTCTTCATGCACCCGATTACAGAAAATGATGTAATAAGTATAATTAATGGTCTAAAAAAACTCTAACTCTTGTGGTATTGACAATATATCTAACAAATTACTTGAACAATGTCAAAATGAATTATCCCATTCATTGACTCTTCTTATGAACCTATCTACAGAAAAAGGCGTCTTTCCAACAAATTTAAAAATAGCAAGAGTAACACCTACCTTTAAAAAAGGAGATAACAATGACCTTAACAACTATAGACCTATAAGTATGTTAGCCAGCATATCTTAAGTTATATGAATTGAATATCAAATTTCAACTAACCAGTTTCTTCACATCAAACAAGTTATTATCATCTTCGCAACACGGTTTTACAGCTAAAAATGAAAATACCAATAACGTCGTGTCTTCTTCTGAATTTATCAAAATGCTAGGAATTACCTTTGTTTCAAAGCTCTCATGGATTTCACATATTGATATTGTCTGCGGCAAACTTAGAAAAGGATGTTATGCACTCAAGTTTGTGTAGAGTCAGTGCAGTGAAAATATCCTTCTGCCTTTATACTTTGCCCACTTCCATTCTCATATGAGATACGGAATTTTAAACTGGGGAGCAAGTTCCTCTGTACAAAGGGTGTTCTTATTACAAAATGACGCAATCAGAATAATTGCAAAAGAGAGTAGAAGAGAGTCGTGCAGAGAGATTTTCAAATAATTTAATATTTTGACTGGGCACATACATCCTCGAAGCGTGTTGTTTCATTTTCAAAAATAAGGCCACTTATAATGCCATCAGTACACACCATGAACATGATACCAGACGAAAAAACATTATTTTATCCCACCGGCATGCCACCGTCCGGTATCAAAAAAACTTTGAATATATTGGATGCAAATGCTCTAATTCTCTGGCAGAACGCATAAAGAATGCAGCTTCTCTAACAATTTTCAAACATCTCCTGAAAAAACACTCCGCAAAAACTGCTACACCAAAGAAGGAATTTTTAATTAGGAAACTTGAATTTTAAATGAAATATGTAGGCAATATGCTTTTCATGTATATGTGAATTGATGTGTATTTATGTATGTAAACATGTATGTGTATTTATGTATGTAAACATGTATGTGTATTTATGTGAATATCTATAACAATTTTTCAATTTGTATTGTATTATGTTGTTATATTACCTTTTGACATTTTTCACAATTTTCCTGTATTTTTTCACAAGTTAATTGCTGAAAAAAAAACTTTCCTAGTAATTATTTCAATTCCAAGGTAACTTAGAGAAAAATAACTTTAGTTCATTGTGTAATGGAACTGAAATCAGTAAATTTGAACTTATTTTATTGTTCTGTGGCAACTGAATCGGCTGAAAAATATCACTGTAAATAACTTAAAAAATTGCACTGCACCTACAACTTCAATTTCCTCACCTGCGGATATATATGAAATTGAAGAAATTTTTCGTGAAATAAAATAAAATTCGGTGGGGTGGGATGACAGACAGATCATTGAATGTGTTGGCAGGGGTGATACATTTCTATGTATAAAAGAGGCGATCTTTGTCCAAAGTTATAGAAAAATTGCTAAATATACAAGTAATATCCTTACTCGAAAAACAATATAATAAACTAACACCAGTTTGGGTTTCATTTCTCAAATGGTACACAGAATGCTATATTTGCATTCCTACAAAGCCTGTACGTTATTCTTAATGAAAGAGAATTTACGGTACCCACGTGCTGTGTCCTATTTACACCTTTCAACCAAGAGAATCACAGTTTATGGTTTCAGAGGATCTGCATTACTCTGGTTTGAGACGTATCTGTCTGAACGGAGGAACGTTTGATTGGGACCTATATTGTTTCACATTTATGTCAATGATTCGCATTTGTCGCCGACTACACCACAGGTACACTTGGAAAAAAAATCGTGGAAATTGTGGAAATGGTGTGTCTAAGTATATACATTTAATACCACTTCAACATATAGTACACGTCAATCACACCTTATTTGACTTCCGACTTACATTAGCACTTACATTGAAATGTTCACCAAGAAAAAAATCCAATGAAAATTGAACGGAGGCTCAAAACACACTGGTTTGCAGATATAATTGAAGGTAAAACCTAGATTCAATGTGGACATTAGTGTTTTGCACTTTCGCCAACATGGCGCTGACATCTAATTTTGAATTCATACCATATAGAATTTTTTTTTGCTACATGTCAAAGAAATTCAAGAAATGAAGCAACTTTCAAGAAGAACACAGAACAATTTCCTTTGATAAAACGAAAAACAAAAAACCATTACAGGAGCATACTACAAATCATTACTTGACAAGCTGAAGACAGAACGGAAAAACGGCCACATTTGCAAAAAAAAAAGAAAATCTTGTCTCACCAAGACAACATAACGTCTCACACCTTAGCGGTTGCCATGGCGAAAATCCTCGAGTTTCGGTTTGAACTGCTTGACCATCCACCTTACTCACTAGATCTAGCCCCAAGAGATTTCTTTTTGTTCCCTCAAGTAAAAATTGCACTTGGAGGACAGAGATTTTTGTCAAATGAAGAGGCAGTCACCTTCGTGAACATTATTTTGGAGAGAAAAACGCCGAGTACTATTTGGACGAGTTATAGAGATGGGAGCATCGCTGGAGGAAGCATGTAGAGTTATATTCAAAAATAAAAAAAAAACTTGAAAAAATGTTTTGTATCTTGGTTAGATTGGAAACTACTCAGACCAACCGCATACCAATGATACCAAAACAAAAGATGTGGTTTTCGAAGCGGATGGTTTGAAATAGATTTCACATGTTTGACAAACCCATTTTTTTTTTAAATCTTCGTTATTGTTATTATCTTTCTGTAGTGGTCTTCAGTAAGGCCAGTATATATTTCACGGAACCACAGCTTGCAATCACCATGACATAGCAAGTTATGGGATTTAAAAAAATATTATTACCATATTGTTCACATGTACATTTGTTGACCGCCATTTTATATCAGCCTCTTAACACTCGATACATATACACAAATATTCTGATAATTACCTCAGCGCCCAATTGGCTCAGCTGTGTTGTGGCCCTTTCTTTAAATATAACCGTCAACCTAGGGACTAGGGGTTGATCTATCCAGGGCGGCACTCTAATATGCCCTTCTGGAGTGCTTGCAGTTGATAACCCAGCAGTTACTGGTTGGTTCCCAGCAGGTTCTTCCTCTTCTCCATCAGGAGCTTCTCTTTCACCCATTGTTGAATTTGATCTAAAAAATCGTTAGAATTGACCTGTATCTGTTTGAAATAAGTATGAAGTTGAGGTTGACAACAGTTAGATTCAGTTCAATTAGCCACTTTAGAGAGGTCTACAAAAATGACTAAACTCTGTCCATCGAAGCAACAGAGGACTCCAAAACATTATCATGTATAGTGCACGTGATCTCCCAGACAAGGGTGCTTGTACAGAGTCGCACTAAGGAACGACCGATTTTTTTTTATTTATATGCGGCTGGGTATAGGAATTTTTTTAAGGGAAAGGGAAAGAAAAAAAATAACAAGTTCCTCAAGCCGAACAAAAAATGAAAATTTAAAAATTCCAAACCTCAAAAAAACCGAAAAGGAAAAAACAAAAGCAAAAAAACCTAAATACCCACACAGACCCTGTAGCAATATACCTAAATGAATTCCGCCAGCCGATTGCAGTTAACCCTGATTGGCCAGCGTATGGAAGCTTGTTTATTTTACACAACAGATGCAAATGTGTGTGGTGATCGTGCTTTGATCACGTTGGATGCACAGAGTTTAGTCATAATCTTCATGTATATGAAGCTAGGAATATTGATAAAGCCAAAGATATTCTGAGTTAGTTCTTCAGTTTCAAACTATGAATAGTTTTAATTGACATTTTTTCAATACCTCAACAAGACTGTCATAATTTACCAGCTTTATTCTGTACCTTACGAAATTTTAGAGATATCTGGTTTTATGTAATAGATCTGAAGAGCTCAAATTTAAAAAAAATTGTCTAAAACAGCTCTAACATGCTGAAAACATAGTTATTTCACAATGAAACCAATTTTTCTCATCAATAAATCTTTTCACGAAGGTGTCTATTTCCAAAGATATTTAAAATGGTCAAAGTTTTATTACATCCCCAAGAAGATGATCCTAATATTATGGATAACTTCAGACCTATTTCCATCTACAATATTTGAACTTTTAACAAAATTGCCTTTGGATGAATGGTTGAATTCACACTCGAGCACAATATATTCAATGATCCTCAATACAGCTGGAAGGTCAGCCATTCTTAGTTTGTTCAACGACACAGAGCAAATGAAAAAATATCCAGGAATTGAAAAAAAAATCTGCAAAAATTAATTCAAAATCATTCTGTTAAAACTAAAAAAAGTCACCAAGAAATACTAGACATTTTTTCAGTCATTACCTGACGTGAAAGGTTTCTTCAGTCCTTAGATTAATATCACTAGGTAAAGGTGTCCCTAACACTGGATCCCGCGGTTCGTTTTCTTCACCATCTAGCACCCTCGTATTCAAATTTTCTCTAACTTCACCACCCTCGATGTTATCAGAAGTACTTGCTTCGCTTGTACTGATATCCCCAGAATTGTCTGGAGAATCAGGAAAGTTCTCAACAACATAGGTATTGTTGTCGGCATTTACGTACCCCGGATTGTCATAGTGAGGGATGTAGGGTTTTATGTCCAAAACTGGTGTTTCGCTGATCATATCAACGCCACTAAAAAAAAATTAGCTTAGTGATTGAAACAGAATATTTATATTGTAGAAGGCAATTGAATATTTCGGATGAATTGAAAAAATTGATAGGATTCCTTCTTAGCTTCAGTACATTTTTGAATTTGATTTATCACCTTTTTTCAAATAAGTATATTTGAATATTATTTTCAATTTGGGACTTTATAATTATGATAAGTCATGTTCAATTGAAAGAAAACTTCATACGAATGAAAATCCTCAAAAGTCGAAACTTGTGTGAACTAAGGATTAACCAGGTCTAATTTTTCAACGTGTGATTTTTAGCACAGGTCAGACGATAGGCAAATGAATGAATGTCAGTAGGTATATAATACAGAAAGAATTAGGAAGAAAATAATATATAACAAGTCAGCTTTTGAAAATACAATCACAATACTCAGAACTATGAATGTATGAAAATTCATCACAGAACTGAATGCTCTACCAAAAAGATGTTCATAAAAACCACATATTCAACTCAGAATTCAGTCACTTCTGAAACTTGCATGTAGTAGTGAAAAATTAAGACTGCAATTATAGACAGAGACAAAGTAATGAAAATACTGAGTTGATCTAAGTGGTTGCAGTTGTTGATAATTGTATGTGTGTTTCTCTGGTGTAATTCTGGATTTGAATACAACCAACCTTAGACATTTTCTCTAAACTTGTACTAACAAATAGACTCACATATGGATGTGGTTTGCTGATGATGGGTTCCATTCAGAAGATACATATTCAAGAGGAGATCTCACCAAAGAGCAGTTCAGAATTTTTAGTAATTTGATATCAATTAAAATCTGAGGTACATCTTCTCTTATTAACAGTAACTTATATGAGGGACTGAAACAATAGTGATTTTTCTGGAGTATGTGACAGTATATTCCAGAATCCCTGAGGAAAATCAACTTGTGGAACAATTATAATCTTTTGGCTAAGGGTATCGGGATTTACTGTATATTCACAAACATTAAAAGGGTGAAACATGCAACTGATTCTTCTATCTATATCTGTGTAGATACTTACCTAAAATAAATTACATTATCAACAATTCTGTCTATTTTAACCAGCGAAAGCCCTATAGGACAAGGTCGATGTGGTGCCCTGGTTGCAAACACTCCCATCCTGATTCCGTTCAGCCTAGGTGGGGCTACTTTTGGTTTAACATAAATCGATTCATTTTTGTGAAAATGGAAGATAATCCACAAGTGAGAAAACTCTTGCAAACCTTCAAGAGCATGGGAGGGGTTGCTAAAGTAGTTGGTATCCAGTGTCAATTTAGCAATCATGTCATTGCATATACCAGGTTGCCTGGGAGTTCCTCGTTTTTCAGGGAAGTTAGTAGTAATTCTCCCAATATATTTTGTTTGGAAATCGTGAACAGGCAAAGTAGTTGAAGCTCGGGATTGTTCATTGAGGGCCTGATTCGCTTTACAAGAAGAACACTGCCAGTCTCTCAATTTCTGGTGGATAAATTCACATTCTTTTTTGTGTACATTGTTGAATGAAAGTAGTTGTTGGCTAAAAAAAAAGTTTCACTCAGTCTGGCACCGTTTGGTAGAACTAATGCTAATTTACCGTAAGTTGTGTATTTCTCTTCGTGCAACCTGCAACTGGGTCAATAAATGATTCGTATCGAGTGGCTTTTCCCCGGTTTCGTTCACAGACATGTTTACTACTCAATTACGGACATGTCAATTTTCATTTTATTACTTGTGAACAGCTGATATTCGAGTATTTGACATTACTCACGGAACAAGGAACATGGGTCCAGAACAGTTTTAGAAACAGCCCTGAATGGGGTTAGTTCGTTCGCTAAAAAACATTTTTGATTCATTTGTGAAACGTCAACATTTTTTGAAAAACTGCAAGATCTTTTGATAATGTAGTACCTGATTTGTTTTTCCTTTTGATGTTGAAGACGTAGATGACTAGAGTGAGTTCTGATAATATCTCATCGGCTCACCTAGAAAGCATCATGGATATTCGAAATAACTTCAGGCTATGTACCGTCGTAGCACAATCAATTCATTTTCAACTACATATATTTCTACGAGAAAGATATCTAATTGAAGGCGGATTCGAACTCGCAACCTGTCTTTTGAGAGAAACAACAAAAATGTTTCGTTTCATGAGCATTTTGAAGCAAGTGTTCAACTTTTTCAACTGAAAATCGGGATATGTCGCTATCGTGACATATTGCAATACGATGGAATAGAAAATATTACCGACTGTGGAATTCAACATATAGTGGTATGAACACCAATGAAGAGATAGAATATGAAGAGTAGTTCAATATCGATATAATGAATATATAAAATAGACTCAGTGCATTACAATAGTGTGGAAGAGATTAAAGTAATTTTAATATTTTCGTGAATGAAATAGAAAGTAATTCATACATTAAATATATTCTCACTATATCGACAGGTGTGTGATGATAGTTTTCAAATAACTTTTACGTGGTTGAGATGAGATTCCAGTAGACTCTGTTTTTCATGAAGATGAGAACTCAGAAAAATCCTGAGGGAACCCGTGCTCGTCCAAATTACTTGGATGAAAATCACAAATACATGGTTGTCTAAATGAAAAATAGCTCATAAAAACTTAAACCTTCTGACATTTTCGCGGCTCTCTGTAGAATCAATATGGAGAATTTAAATATGCTCTCGTTAGCAAAGGGATATACTCCCCCATAGGCCGAGAAGGAGGAGAATTCACAATGGATCCCTAGGAAAATCTAGAGAGAGAAAGGAAAATAACCATCTTCTGACAATTTTCGGGAAAGTCTTTCGTGAATGACATCGAAGGTCGTTCAAGATGTAAAGCATTCCAAACATTTAAAAATTAAATGATTTATCCCTTCCACCAATAGATAACCAACTGGTTTACAGTTATCTGGAGTATTATTTATGCTCTTCATTCTTGAAGGTTGAATTCGAACGGTCTTTCAAATCGAAAAAAAAACACCTTCATCATATTGAAAATGCACCCAAGCTGTCAATATATACTGGAATAAATTGTTTCTTATGAACAGTGAGATGATATACCAATGCAATGTATATTGAACATATACTGAAAATATATCAACAAAATTTTATTTTCAGAGGTGGGCAAAACACAAAATTTAGTATAAGTGTCTTGATCAATTCCCTTCAAGTCGTCACTTGAGAAATTCCCATTATTCACAATATCTCTTCCAGATGGTCTCGACATCTATTCATTCCTCATTATTTTTTCATCAACAATGATTACGATATCAAAAAATTTTGAGGGTTAATCTTTGGCTTGCCATTACGACCACTGGATTACAGTTGATATTTTCGTACCTGAATCAAATATGGACATACCAGAAGAAGTTTTATGATATAAATCTACTGCCATTTCCGGAAATCTAAATTACTTCCATGAGATCTATTAATGAATCCGCAACTTAACAACACTGGTATTTTTAAAATTTGAGTCCACCCTGTTATCTATCGGTAGGAATCAACAACTTTTTTTTAAATATTTGAATCTCAACGCTTCCGATTTGTACCTTTTTGATATCTCATACTACCGATTTGTTCAGATATAGACTTGAAAATGGAGATATCTTATATGTCGCTTTCTTTCAGTCTCTTTTGTTTTGTAGTACCATTCCTCTGCGACACATTAAGTGAGTCCCATCTGTCCCATTTTCAAATATGCACTATGCACTTTATGAAAATAATATGTAACAGCTGATTATTTTTGATTATTTTCTTCAAAATGTTGAAATGATGGACGAATTGAACGCTAGTCCACCAAAACAGAGTGTACCAGCGATTATGCTTCTTCCCTGTAGAGATAAAACTGACGGCCATGAAATTAACAGCTAGGTGTTATTACTCTTGAATCAGATGTTCTTAAGGCCTAGTTATACATTATTTCCAATGTTTCAATCACTGTCACTGTTTTCATCATATCGAACCAATGGAATCAAATATTAGAATATCATAATGACTGAATATTGAAACTTTGCAAAAATGCTTTTAGAGAAATTCACAAGTTGTTTGGAAAATGTCATTAACTCATTGTTGATTTGGAACCTGATAAGTAGAAATATAAAATGCTATAACTCAATTGTGAAATTCAGTTTAGTCATCGCCTGGTGATGCTAACTTGGTTAGCAAAACGGGCCTAGAGAAACGCTACTATAGTACGAAAACGTAGAGGAGCCACAAAAATTGATAATATTATTTTTCCATACTTCACGATTATAACTGTGAATTACAACTGCGAATTCACAACATCTTTAATCGACAATTTCTTACATAACTGAGAAGTCACAGTTACGAGTGTTAATTCTCAGTTACAACTTCACATTTACAGTTATTACTGTCAATTAGGACCAGCGTCTATAGACAACAATCTCCTTGACTTGCATCTCCACTTTCTTTATTACAATATTACGAAACATAATTTGACATGTAACTTAACCTATCCAACTAATAAACAAATTTTACAATACATGATGAGTTTTTTATGTTTTAGTTTCACTAGTTGAATCTAACTTGAGTTAGATTAGGTAACAGGTTGATATTTTTGTTTCACTAATAATTATACATACTCAATATATTTGCAATGATTGTAACGTCCTGGACGTCTATTGTGTACATGCGAAACATTTGCTCTCTATAGACTCTGGGTCATGACCCAATTATAAGGGTGAAACTCACAGTGTTCAGGTGCGAATTTGTTAATTTATAGTGCTGATGGGAATTCTTAGTTGTGAACGTGAATGAATGAAAAATAATATTATCGATTATTGTGGCCTTTTTACACTTTTATACTACAGTTCTGGTATGGAAAAAGTGTTCTCATTGGGTTTACTTGAAAGTTCTTTTCATATAAATTTTCACCATTTTCAGATACTCTCACTTTCTCGAGATTTATAACATGGAAGCACAAAAAGTAGACGTTATTGATATATTCTATTAAAAAAATACATACTCCTGTGGGCGAATATTTTGTCACAATATTGAATATTTATGCCTCTACCACAAATATAACTATTTTGTGTGTTCTTTTGGGACTCAGTTTTTAAAAACACCAGTTTCGTATCATTTTAAAACTCGAACGACACTTGATTTTTAATAAGAATTCGCTCTAGGCTTATGAGTTCTGTGGGATATTATCAAAATGTTAGACTACACTGTCATCTACCGGTAGAAATCAACAATTATTATAATATTTAAAGCTCATCCCTTTGGAGATGTACCTTTGTTACACGAAATTATTGATTTAACAGAAGTAATCTCCTGTTAGATGAATTCTGCATCAACCTGTATGAATCATATCTCATGAAAGAGCACCCAAAGCCACATAAACAACCATTTATTATTAACTTGTAAAAGCAAAATCCTCTCAACTCGCTCCGCGAACAGGGACATGCGTTGAATTCTCACCAACTTCCCACCAATCAAGGATGCCGGATCGTAGGTTTATTCATTCTGTTGCTTAGTTCTCGACGAACTTCACGGAGTAGAGAGGTGGCAGGTAGCAAAACTGCGGATAATTTACGTACTACTGTACGCGAAACTTCGAAGTTGCCGGTGACATTTTTGCAAATATTTGTGTGTTTTGGTTGCAGTTTGCGGCATATTGGGAATGTTTGTGGTGCATGGAGTGCAGTGAGGAAAGAGTCTCCACAAGTTTTGCGGAGTTTTTGTGCTATTTTTCGGGGTAGATGTTGGAACGTAACATGTGATACAGTGACAAGGAACTATGAAGGTGTCTGCTTTCATGATTTTGCTGCTCGTTTTCTTTCAAAGTGAGTAATCTTATATTTTGTTTCCAAAGTTTGGAATGTGCTATTTGCGTCTTGAAATATTAAAAAAGTTTTAAATATTATTCGAGGCTGGCTCTTGTCTTTTTATTAGAAAAGATGAAGACTATAGTCATCAACTTTCCCATAAGATGAAGACTATAATAGCCATCAACTTCGCGATTTTGATGAAAAATTCCATAAGACCTTCAGACACCTTGAAACAATTGAAAAAATCTACGTTATGATATATGTTTTTTACATTAGGTATCTGTTACCGCTGTATTAACATTCATTAGATTTGTACATTATTGTTCTAATATAAGCAATTTGTGTGTTGGGATTTTTGGTGATGCTGAATCTGAAATCGTTCTTGATTTCTAGTGATTCCTAACTTACAGATTTCTCTGAAACAAAACAACATTGAAAAACTTATATTTTCTATTAGCAAATTGAACATTTTGACAACCCCACTAATTCTCCGAAATTAGTCTAAATTGAATCTTCATCAACAGAGATATGATAATTTCCATCAGAAGTGGGAAACATAATATACGTATATCCCTTATTCTTTGAGTAAATAGTGGGCGTCAGTAATCCCCCCCCGAATCAACATTACCAATTATTTTTGAAGCTCTTTTTTGAATAATGAATATTTTTTTAGGGTTTGAAGTATTTTCCATATCTACACACAGGTTCCAAGTCATTTCTGATATTAAACTTTACTTTAAAAAAAATGAAAACCTGTATTGAATAATTTAAATTTTTTATAAAATTTTCATTGGTTGAGGTAGGTAGGTGTCATTTGTATGTCGAATAATGTTATTTTATATTTTTCTTGAAAACACACAGGACGTTTTGAATATTATATAAAAAGTGAAGAATATAGTCAAGTTTAAAACTTTTGAAGAAAATTGTACGATAGCTTCAGAACATCTTGAAACAAATTTTATTTCAATTGAA